CCAGGGGCCCTGGCTTGCGGGGGGCCCCCACCCTCGCCGTGGCAGCTGTAGGTCCCTGCAGTGGCCAGCCCAGCCTGCGGCAGCACCAGGGCTCCCTGATGGACGGCTGAGCCCTCCGGCAGTGCCACAGCACCCACCCGTCTCCATTGCACTGGCGAGCTGGGTTGGAGAGACCAGGCAGGCAGTGTTAGAGGACAGGGACGGCGGGGTCACCCCAGGCCCACCCTGTAAACCATCCCATCGGTTAAATCCCCCAGCATGCATGGAAAACACCTACCCGGCATGGGTGCTGGTGCATGACAGGGTCACGTCTGTCCCCACCCGTCCATACTGCACACCTGGAGGGACACACACATCCCCAGCGGGGTGTTAGCACCCTGTGCCACCCCATGCCAGGGCTGGGGGTTGAGGTGGGCAGTGTGGGGCTGCACCCCCAAGGTGGGCGGCCTGGAGCTATGCACCTCTGGGGAGCTGGCCACTAGCTGTGGGATCTTGCTTCATGCAGGTTACCACCACAGGGGACTGGGAAGGACTGGTCCCAGTTGGGGCTGGGCAATGGGCAGCTAGCTGCAGGGGGGTGCTGGCCAGAGGACATCCATCACTTTGGGGGTGTGGTTCATGTACACCCTGACTGTGGTAGGTCTGTGCCTGCCTCGGGGGAATGGGGTACCCCCATGCTCCCCATGCCTGGGATGTGGGGGGCTGTGCAGGGGGCTTGGCAGAGGGCTCCCCTTCCTCTCCCCAGCTCTCGGGGACGGCGAGGGGAGCTGATGCCAGGGCTGACGCGAGGAACACCATCACCCTGCCCAGGCCTGGGATGGGACTGCGCATCTGGAGAAGGCAGAGTTGTGAGGGAAAGGGTGTTATCTGCTGCAATGGGGCGGCCGGCAGGGTCCACAGCCAAGAGCATCCCTGCAGGACCACAGACCCTGCAGCTCCCTCTTGTCTCACCCCATCTTGCTGGGGACAGTATGGGGACTGTACCGCCAGGACTCCAGCCAGGACAGCTGGCAGGGTCTGTGCCAACGTCACAACTGGTCCCTGGCTGCCAAGGAGTCCCCATGCCTGGAGGGGGGATGCAAACACTGACCAGGAGCTCGGGGCTGCGTAGGTTGGCGGGATTAAAGGCTTTTTGTCTTGGCTGGCTTCCAGCGGCTGGCTTCCAGCCCCAGGGTGGTCCAGAGACCTGCACTGGTGCAGCTGGAGTGGGAAGGGACCAAGGAGAAATTCTGGCCCGTACTCACATGGCAGGAGACAGGAGATAAATCTGAAGAGGCTCACACAGCCTGGGAGAGCACATCTGTGTGAGCTCAGACCATACTGACAGTAAGGCTGCCTGGGGGTCACATGTCATTGCCCATCCCTGCACCTGCTACAGGGCAGGTCTGTGCAGGTCGGTGCTCTTCTGGGCCATTTGAGGTCTCTGGACCCAGAGAGAATGGCCCTGAAATCCCTTTCGCCCGCTCAGAGACCACCAGTGGGTCTGGTGCGAGAAGTGCAGGGGATGCTTAGTCAGGGATGTGCACCCAACCCTCTGTCACCCCCAGCCACCGACCGAGGTCTCCCCACCATAGCACAGCCAGCACCACCCTGTCCATAGCAGCCAGCATAGCCCTGCCTGCTCCAGCCAGCATTGCCCTAAGGCATCTGCTCCAGCCTGTGTTGTCCTGCATATATCAGGCAGCTCGGCTGGACTGTGCCAGCCAGCATCACCTCAGGGCATCCATCCTGGCCAGCATCACGCCATCCATACCAGCAGTGTCACACTGTCCCTATCAGCCAGGCCCACCTGCCCCCACAGGCACAGACAGTTGACTCATTTCTCCCTGGAAGACCTCTTGGCCCCCCCGTCAGGAACAGGGAGGCCTGTTTATTTACACCCATATTGTCGGGCTCTGCTCCCGGCTGCAGGCATGCAGGGGCTGAGGACATGAGAGGCAGTGAGCTCCCTGCCAGCCCCAAGCGCAGGCTGCAGCTCGTGGGCGTAAAACCGTGTCCCCCTGAGTCACCCGGGTTCAACAGCCGAGGGGCTCCAGGGAGGGATGCTCCAGGACTGCAAAGGCACCCCAGAGGAGATGCTGGTTCCTCTCCTGTGGGCAGATGGCCCATGGCCACAGACTCAACTGTGCGGCAAGGGAAACGAGAGCTACGAGGCAAAGTGCTGCAGCCCAGTGAGTGATGCACTCCGCATCAACCCTGTCCTGAACACTCCAGGCAGCCTCAAATGCCAGCCCCAAATGTAAATAATTTCATGAGACTGTCATAAGCTTTTCCTACAAAACCACCCATACAAATGTTCCCAAGAAACCTCAGTTAAAAGATCTCTGCCAAAACTATGCTGGTAACTAACTGGGAACATTCGGCCTAAAAGTAAAATATTTTGGTGATGGAAAAGAAAAAAAAAAAAGACGTAAAATACACTTAAAAGCAGCAACCAAAAATAACTCCAAATGTCACATGGGCCAGAGTTAAGGGGATGGCCCTTGGGGAGGTCAGGGAGAAGGGAGAGTGTGTTGGTGTGGACAGAGAGAGAATAGTTTTAAAATAAAATCCTTTCTTCTTATGGCCTGGCTTTTTGTGCAAATGCTGTGGAGGGTGGGTGAAGGCAGAGCTGCTGCACCCATTAGCTGTGCTGCTGGAAGGAATCTTTTCCTGCACTCTGACAAAGGAAGAGCTAGGGGCACGGCACGATTTGCAGCTAGCTGATGCTAACATCCCCCCGGAACCGCTAAAGACCTGCCCGGCCAGCCTCTCTGCGGGTGGTATTGCCAACAGACCCATGGGCACCCCAGACCCATACGTGGTGGCAGAGGGCATCTCTACAGACCCCGTCCCCAGCTGCATCCCAACCCCTTATGTCCACAGTGACCCCCCAGCAGTCCCCCACTGCTCACCCCGAGGGCCACCCTGCACCCTCTGTCCCAGGCCTGCCCCCAGTGCTCCCCATCCCCACCCCAATATGAGCTCCCCTGCCTCGGATGGGCTCTTTTGGGCAGTTGCCCACCCCTGCCAGTGCAGCGTGGGGAAAGCCAGCACTGAGCCCCTCCAGACACACACTTTGGCTGAGTAAATGACCTGCCTGAGCAATGCCAAAACCCAGCCACAACTGAGCATCACCGCAGAGAGAAAAAACAGGGGAAGCTCCTCCTCACCTTCCTGAAGGCCACAAACAAACAGCGAAGGAGCTGCACAGCGGGAGAAGACCCGGAGCCCTCGCCCACCCTGGGTGCGGCAGCGTGGCAGGGGGGCAGGTGCTCTGGAACAGGCAGGGCTGCAAAACAGCCCGCCCAGAAAGGATCCCCTTGCTTTCTGCAACCAAACTCCCTTGAGAGAGGAAAACAGGCATGCAAATGAACGCACATGCCACCTTCCTTCGTGGCTCTGCACCGCAGTGGATGGGCACACAGGCAGAGGAAGCATCCCTCTATGCCGGCACAGGCACAGGCAGTGACGCATCCTGGGGACAGGGAGTCCCGGCACAGTGGTCCTGGAGCCAAGCCGAGACAGAGGGAACAATTGGAGCTTTTCTTCCCCTCCACAGGCTAATCCTGCCCGAGAGGCGTCTGTCGCCTGCCTGGGGCTGGGGAACCCGCCACGGCCGTGGGCCACAGCTGGGGCAGCGTGACCCAGCCCAGCCTGGGGCTGTGGCTTGGCCCTGGCATGGAGGGCAGCAGGCTGGGCTCTGCTGCCTCGGCACGGGACACCCTCGTCACCAGCATGGCCAGGGTGACCAGGCGGTGCGTGGCACCCATGGATGTGAGCCAGAAACACAAGGTGCCACTTTTCATCCTGCACTGACCCTGCTGTCCTGCTCGGCATCGTTTGAGTTCATCCACGACTTTCTGGGGAGGTGCAGGGTAAAATCCTGCCATGAGCCCCTTCCTGCATCCAAACTGAAATGCTGTGAGCCAAAACATCCCCCAAAACCACAACCATGTGCACCGGCACTGACGCCCCCATGGGGTGTGACAGTCCCCCAGCACAGCCACTCTGAGCCATGCCCTACTGTGGCCTGGCAAATCACAGCACAGATTCCTGGGGGAGGCCAACTTTCCATTGTGCTCGGTGCTTTGAAAGACAGTGGGTTTTGGTCGGGTGTTTTTTTTTTTATTTTTTTTTTTCCCCTTTGCTTCATTTGAAGTCATTCTTCAAAGAGAATGAGCCGCATGCAGAGCCGGGGTGGGGGGGATGACACACAAGCAGACGATGCTGTGCTGCAGGGTGGAAGATGGCAGTGGGGAGATAACGGGATGCTCTCCACTGAGCACAGAAAGCTGGGGTGCCTCCTAAACTCTCCTCAGGGTGGTCCGGGGCAGCACCACTATAAAAGAGATGTGAGAAATAAAACAACCCAAGAGCACTTGGCATCTCTGCCCGCCCTGCTGGAGTCACTCACCTGCAAAAAGCTGCTCTGCAATGGGTGATGCCTGACGCCAGCTGGTTCTAATGCCCTAGAGGTGGCATCACACTGTACCCCTGCCCCTGAGCTTGGGGAGCATCCCTGGCCCCACAGCCCAGACCCACCTCTCTGCCAGTGCCTGCTGTGGGAATTGCATCCTGTGGCCAAGGGCAGTGGCGTTTGGAAGCAGCATTTCCCCTCTTCTTGCTTTCCTGAAGGATTGGGGGCACAGTGCCCCACTAACCCCTTCTCCTCCTGGCAGCCCCACTCCAAGAGCTGCAGCATGGCCTGAGTCCATCCCCGTGGCTGCTGATCTGCCCAGAAAGCCGGCAGCATCCCATCCCTGCAGCACTGGTGACCTCCATCATCATTGCATCAACACACAGGTTCGGGGTAAGGGGACCATTAACCCCGCTGCTGGGACGGTCCCCTGCAAACAGCCACCCCTGTCCCCTAAATGCCACTGGCACCCTCCCAGCTGCTGGGTGCCTGGAGAAAGCCCAGCAATGGGTGCTGGCAGAGAGGGATGCACATCTTCACAACCTCCAGGGCCACCAGGGCCATGCACGGTCCCCAGGACCAGCAGCAGCACCCAGGGACAAACTCCTTGCCCACTTTGGGCACTGCTGGGGTGATGGTCCTTGAGGCCAAGCAGAGAGTCCCACTTGCTGTCCTCTCTGGTGCCTTGGGGACCTCAAAAAGTGCTGCCTTCCTCTGCACCGCTTTGGTGGGGTGCTCAGCACCCATGGGCCCACATGCCTGTTGGGGGGCGGTCACAATGCCAGGGTGAGCTGAGCCAGCAAACACGCATGCACAACTGCAGCCTGTGCAGCCCCAACACACTGGAATTACCCCAGTTAAACTAGTAAAACCAGTTGCAGCCTTTCCCTGTGAGGCCAATGCAGTCCAATAAGCCCCGTGCACAGCCTAAACATAGGGCTAAACCCAGTACAGTCCCAGTGTGGAGCTTAACTCAGGGCAGCCCAAATGTGGGATTATACCACACACAGCCCAGGATCAGGATTAAATCCCACTCAGCCCAGGGTGTGATTAAATCAAATTTAGCCTAGGAGTGAGATTAAATCCAGTGCAGTCTTGGGTTTAAATTCAGTGCAGTCTAAATGTGTGGTTAAATCCAGCTCTGCCCAGGAATGGGGTGAAACCCAGCTCAGCCAAAATGTGGGTCTAGACCCAACACAGCCTAAACATGGGGTTATACAGTCCAAATTAAGGTTAAACTCAGTACAGCTCAAGAGTGGAGTTAACCCCAGTTCAGCTGAAATGTGGGGTTAAACTCCAGCTCAGCTCAAACACAAGGTTAAACCCAGGACAGTCCAAATGGGAAGCTAAACCCAATGTGGTCCAGAAGTGGGGTTAAGTCCAGCTCGGCCCAAACACGGGGTTAAACCCAGCAGAGCCCTATCATGCCCTT